CCCCCGAGGCTGCCCTCCATACAGGTGACCCCTCAGAAGGTCTGCATGGGGCTGTGCCACCACGGTGGCTCCCCTTGGTTGGGGACACGGGCAGGCGCCGTGTTTGCTGAAGGAGGTTCGAGACCAAATGTCTCTGGGGCTGGGGCTCCTCTGCCAGGCTGTGCCGGCAGGGAGAGGCTGTGACCCACTGGGCTCTGGATTCCCCCTGGCCAGGAGACCCGTGGGGTGCTGGGCTGGGTGGAGATGTCTCCCCTCTGTACATAGTCTGTATTTATCAATAAAACCTTTTAATCCTTCCTCTGGCCTTGGGACAGGCTGGAGGGGGCTGTAACTCATAGCCTCGGGAGGTCCCTGTGCCTGTCCTGTATCAGCTCCCTTGTCAGAATGGGCACAGGGAGGTCAAGGGGTAGCCTGGATGTCCCAGCTCTGCTCCCTAGTGCCACCCAGACCCTGTCCTGCCAGCCTGCCAGGACCCTTCCCCAGCATTGTCCCGTTGTCATTCCAGCTGCTTCTCCACCACCTCCATTTCCTGGTGCTGCCCCTCTGGAGGTTTAAGCTTGTGTCTGCCCTTGAGCTAGGTGGGACAGTCCATGGAGGGGACCAGTCCCAAGATGACCTTCATGGCCACCATGGCCTGCCCTGGTGAAAATAGTGTCTCTCTGCTGTCACAGCCATGGGGCAGGGCACCCAAGGATGGCCCTGGGAAGTGCCCAGGAGGGTAACAGTGACGTGTAGCTGTCTGTCCCTCCCCCAGGTCCTGTGCATGGATGGTGCCCAGCGCATTAACTGTCCCAGCACAAGGCAGTGTTGGCCTCATCTTACAAGGGGGGAGTGCTCAGGAGGGTTGAACAATGTTGCTGCTGCTGGGAATAGCTGCCAGCTCTGCCTGCTGGCCCCATGTCAGGCCAGTCTCCTGCTGCCAGGCTGCCATGTGCTGTGGGGGAGGCCAGGCAGTCTCAGGGACCCTGGCAGGGCTGCTCGGAATGTTCCACACCTGAGGTCATCCTCTAAAGCAGCACAGAGGGGCCATGACTCCTGGCATCCCATGCTGCCTGCTGCTGGCTGAGAAACTTAAGGGGACCCCTTGCCTCCCTTTGGGGTGGGCAGGCTACCCCCCGGATCCCTGCCCTGTCCAAGGTGCCAGGAAGCCCCAGGCAATGTTGGTGGCTGCTGCAGCATCTGATTGCACAGAGATGGGGTGATGGAAGCCATGGGAGCATCTTGCTTGCCCAGGGTGAGTGACGCAGGCATAGGTGCCATGCCTATGAGGTGACCCTGGATCTGCTGAGCCTCTTTTGACTGGCTGTCACAGGTTCTGCACACTGCAGCTCCCCATAACAAGCACAGGTGTCCTGGTCAACCCAGGGTGTGTGGGGGGGGTCTCTTTAAGAGAGTGTGGGGCTGGAGAGGTGAGTCAGGGCCACCAGAAAGCAGGAGGGTGAGCTCATGGCAAAGCTGCCCCAGTCATGTGGAGCAGCCACAGCTGTTGGTGCCCTTGGGCTGTGGGACAGTGGGGCCAGCAGCATAAAGCCCCACGGCCAGCGAAGCCGCCGGCAGCACCAGGAACCAGGACTAGGAACTCCCTGCCCGTGGTAACAAGAAGAGGACACATCCTGCACAGGACTGTGCACTGCGGGCAGACATGGAACTGGATGTGGAACGGGCCAAGGAGCTCATCGAGCAGAAGCTGGCAGAGGAGGAGAAGGAGGAGGTGGGTCCATAGGACAGGGGAACCTTTCTGGGCTGTAGTAGGAACCCCCATTGTACTCTGTCCATCCTTAGGGATGTGAAGAGGCTGGCACCGACCTTGCCATCCTGGGGGATATATGAAAGTGTCCAAGGGCTCTCAGGGGGATCAAGTTCCCAGCCCAGCAGCTCTAGCCCAAGGGGCAGAACTGAGCGGCCAGCAGGTGCCCAGCTTACCAAGCAGGGTGGGCAGGCAAGCGCAAGCCCAAGGGCTGCCAAGCATCCTGCAGACCTCAGCAGCAAGTGGAGCCATGCCCAGAGCCACCTTCCCCAGCAGGCTGAGGATGGAGGGAGTGGGGCTGCTCTGTGCCCAGACAAGACCATGCAGCAGCTGCTGTGCCTCTGCAGAAACTCAAAGGGGATGGTGCACGGGAGCCACCGGCCGTGGAGCGGATGAACACACCTGAGCTGGAGGAGGAGAAACGCTGTGGCCCCAGGAACTGGAGCCTTGAGGCCATCAAGGTGAGTGGGTTGGGGTGCAGGGTGCCCAGGGGTGGCTCGTGACAGACAAGTCAAACGGGGCACTGTGTGTGCTCACCAGGGCCAGGAGAAGGTGCGGAGGAGTTCAGTGGACCTAAGGCGGGAGATCATCGACGTGGGGAGCATCCAACGACTCATTGAGCTCCGCAAGCAGCGCCGGCAGCGCCGGGCAGAGCGGGCGGCCACCCCTGAGCCCACTCCACCACCTGAGCCCCTGGAGATTGTACGTCAGGGGGTCCCAAGATGCGGGAGGGGGGCTGCTGGCATAGTTGCTGACCAGCGCCCTGGTCACCCTGCCACTCAGAAACCTCCCTGGGGAAGCAGGGCAGGGGGCCCCCATATTGTCCTCTCTCCTGCACCCCTGTGTTGCCCCAGCTCTGAGCCTGTCCCATTGCCAGGACGGTCCTGTGGAGCCAGAGACCTTCCTGCGGGCTGCTGTCCAGGGCAAGATGCACATCATCGAGAAGTTTCTGGGAGATGGTGGCTCCCCTGACACATGTGATGAGGTAGCATCCCTGACAGCCACTGATTGCCCCCCACATTGTGTCATGCCACCAAGTCCTGCAGCTGTGCCCACCATGCCTGTGGGTGAGGGCTGGGAGGCTTGGCACAGGGCTGGGGGTACAACCAGACTGGGCAGGGGAGGATACATCCATCCGCCAATGTGCCACCCCGTCTCCCAGTTCCACCGCACGGCCCTGCACCGCTCCTCGCTGGAGGGACACATGGAAATCCTGCAGAAGCTGCTGGACAGTGGGGCCACTGTTGACTTCAGGGACCGGGTGAGACTGAATCCTGCTTCCAGCTGCACGCTGGTCTGAGCATCTGGGTGTATTGCAACTAGAACTACAGCAGCACTGGGGACCGTGCAGTGGGGCAGTGCTGTCCCCATCACAGAGGTGGCTGCAGGCAGGACTCTGCCAGCTCACCTCAAGCACAGGGACCTTCTGGGGCAGGGGACAGACACAGGGTAGGGGTGTCCCCCACCATGACACAACGCTGTATGTCCAGCTGGATTGCACTGCCGTGCACTGGGCCTGCCGGGGTGGGCACCTGGATGCTGTCAAACTGCTGCAGGACCGTGGGGCAGACCTCAATGTGAAGGACAAGGTGAGCAGGGCAGAGCAGGTCACAAGGTTGTGCCAGAAGCAGGGTCATACCCTGGAGTATGAGAGCTGACCCTTTGCTGGGTTAGCAGGTGTGGGTCCTGATCCCCCCTGATGTCCATCTCATCCCCCCTCAAGCTGCTCAGCACACCCCTTCATGTGGCCACCCGAACTGGACACCCTGACATTGTGGAACATCTCATCCACTGCGGGGTGGATATCAATGCCCCAGACAGGGTGAGTGCTGCAGCCATGAAGGCATCACTGGGGGGCAACACTGATCCCCCTCCCTTTGCTGACCCCTCCAAGGGCTTCCAGCACCTACAGTAGGGCACATCTGGACACACACAATCCTGCCCCAGGGTGGTTGCAGCCACAGCCAGGTCTGGGACAGGAACAGTCCCCCTTATCCATGTGGAGATTGGTGTGCTGGGGGCTGGAGAGCAGTGCTGGGGACAGGCAGAGGGTCCTTGTCCCTGGACTACAATCTCCAGTGAAGCTGTGTCTCCCACAGGAAGGCGACACAGCGCTGCATGATGCCACACGGCTCAGTCGCTACAAGATCATCAAAACACTGATCCTGCATGGGGCTGACATGATGGCCAAGAATGAGGTGAGTGTGTGGGGCCAGCACCGAGGCCATTTGCTGCCCCACCATGTTGCATCATCCTGTGCCCAGCCTCTCTCTGCCCACTCTTGCAGGCTGGCAAGACCCCAACAGACCTGGTGCAGCAGTGGCAGGTGGACACACGTCAGGCGCTGGAGACCAAGGAGCAGCCACAGGGGGAGATGGAGGTCCCTGCATGATGGCACCAGGCAGGGCCAAAGGCTGGGCTCAGCTCCAAGGAGCAGGATCCAGACAAGACTTGTCTGTGTCAATAAAAGTCGGCAAAGAGCAGCATTTGGCTCCAGGTGGCTTTGAGGTTGGGCAGCCTGCACTGGGGCTGACGGGCCTGGGAAAGCTGGGTTATCCTGGGACAGGGATATCTGGCAGCATGGTGAGCCCTGCCTCCTATCACTAGGACTCAAGTACTGGTGACTCCAAGTGGTTCAAGGACAGGACTCCTCACTGCAGGACATCCTGATTGCTCACAGTCCTTCAAAGTCCCACCTGGGCAAGCTCTGGGAGGAAAAATACATGGAGGACAGCTCAGCCTGAGTCCATGTTGTGCTGGACTCAGCACAACAGCTGGAGGCTGGGGCTGTGCCAGAGAGCAGCAGCTGTACCCACCTGGACAGCCACTCTGTGCGGTTGGATGGCTTCTTGTCTTTCTGTCTTTCCTGCTGCAGCCATGGCTGGGGAACATGTGGTTCCTTTGCACACATGCTGAAGTGCTCACTACTCCCTATATGGAAATGCTCACACTCAACCGTTTACAGGAGACCTTACACTGACAGCCAGATCAGGTGATCCCTGACCAAAGCCCTGGGACAGCTTGCACTGCCTGGTCCCTCCCTGGTCTTGCAGCCCAGCCCTGGACGAGGCAGAGGGATGGCTGCCAGGGTTGGCAAGCAGAAGGGAAAGCATGGCCGTGGTGACCAAAGCTCACCTGGAGGGGCGCTGAGCTCCTTGCAGCCAGCTCCTGGAGGGGGAAGAACATCCTGAGCTCATCTGGTACCACCCCCCATGTCATCTGCCCAGCAGGGTTGCGGGTCCCTCACGTGCCCGGTCAAACATTAACAGCCCTTCGGCGAGGCAAGCAGCACAGCCAGCGGCAGCAGCCAGCCACCATGGCATTCAGCACCCGCCTCGCCTCCTCCCTCCGGCCTGTCCTGACAGCTCTGCACTGGGCAGCCCCCAGGCAGTGCCGGGGACTCAGCACCCCCCAGGGATCAGAGCCCTCACTCAATCTTGGGGGTATCTTCCCACCCCTCGCCACCCCTTTCTCACCCACGCAGGAGGTGGACTATGCCCAGCTGGAGGGGAACCTGCGCCGCTATGCCAGCATCCCCTTCCGAGGTAAGCACTGCTCACTGTCCTCCATGCAGGCTCCAGTCAGATCCCTGCCTGCCACAGAGGCTGTGTGGCAGCATGCAGGCAGCCTGCCAGCTTCCCAAGGGTGCTCAGCCTCCAGCTGGACTTTGCTCTGGGGCTGGCAACCCCTTGGGTCACCCACCTGGGGCCCTTTGCATGGCACATGCCCAGGCACATGAGTGTGTCCTTGCACACCCCCACCACATGCCAGCACATGCTTGCACACACACTCCACACATGTGCAGGCTTGCATGCATGTTCCACACATAGCTACAGGCTTGAACCTATGCACTGCACTCCTGGGCACCCTCTCAAAAATTCATGGGATATTTATCTGTCCATTGCCAAGGATGGGTAGATGACAGGAGACCAGCTGCAGAGGAGGCTGTGGCCTCACAAGGATTCTCCCCAGAGTCTCCTCTCTTCTGACCAGGAGGCTGGGACTGCAAGGATATAGGTAGGAGAGGGCATGCTGCAGAGCTTTGCCTGGGTGTCAGCAGCAGAGAAGGGAGTGAGAGTAATAGGGATACATGACAGTCCTGGCACCCTTTTCATGTGCCTGAGGCCTGCCCTCCCCTCCCCACATTTGTGTTCCAGGGCTGGTGGTGCTGGGCTCCAATGGGGAGTATCCATACCTGGCATCCCGTGAGAGGGTGGAGGTGGTGAGCTGTGTGCGCCGGGCTCTACCCAGGGACCGCTTGCTGCTGGCTGGCTCGGGCTGCGAATGTGAGTGCCTGTGTGGGGGGCAGTGCAGGGGCTATGTGTCCCCCCCTGGGGCACTCCTCACCCCTTTGCCTTCTCCCCAGCCACCCAGGCCACCATTGAGCTGACAGTCAGCATGGCGGAGGCAGGGGCTGATGTGGCGCTGGTTGTGACACCCTGCTATTACCGGGGGGCCATGACCACTGCTGCCCTGGTCCATCACTACACAGAGGTGAGCCATGTCCAGTGCCTGCCAGCAACTCCAAGTGGGGCAGCAGGATACACACCTTCAATGTATCCCCAGCCCATCCCAGCTACTGATATCTGCCTGGCTGCCTGCAGGTTGGCGATGCATCCCCCATCCCTGTGGTGCTGTACAGTGTCCCTGCCAACACCGGCCTGGACCTGCCCATGGAGGCTGTCATCACCTTGGCTCAGCACCCAAATATCATTGGGATCAAGGACAGCGGTGGGGATGTGAGTGGGGCAGGACTTTCCCAGGGCTGCTTACCACCAAACCTGCACCTAAGCTGGGAATGGGGACCTGGGACTTGCAGCCCTTCCCTGGACCCCAGGGCTGCCAGCAGGCACCCTGCAGCACGGGGGACTGGGTGATGCCTGTCCCAGGGCATAGCATGTCTCTCCCCAGATCACCCGCATGGGGCTGATGGTCCACAAGACAAGGCAGGAGGATTTCCAGGTGCTGGCAGGATCAGCCAGCTTTCTGCTGGCAAGCTATGCCGTGGGTAAGTGCAGCTGCCCATCCTTGGCTGGGGGCACTGGCAGGGGGAGGCAGGTGAGAGGCCGGGAGGTGCTGGGTAGGCACAGCATGCTGAGCTGGCTGCCAATGTGTCCTGGTGTCTCTAGGTGCCTCTGGGGGTGTGTGTGCCCTCGCCAATGTTCTGGGTGACCCATTGTGTCAGCTGGACCACCTGTGCCGCAAGGGCCAGTGGCAGGAGGCCCGTGACCTGCAGCACCGCCTCATTGAGCCCAACACGGCGGTGAGCAGGCAGAACCCCTGGGATGCTGAGGGGAGGGGGTGCCGGGCCATGACAGAGGCAAAGAATGGAAGTCCCTGGGGCTGCAGTGGGTGGAGGGATGGTTCAGGGGGACAGCACCTTGGCCAGAGAGTTGAGATGGGCTGGAGGTGAGAAGGTGGGAAGTGTCAGCCCTGTCATATTAAGAAACATCCTGTCCACTGGCACCAGGCACTGCCTGACCCTCCGTGAGAGGCTTGCTGGCTATTTATAGGCAGTAGTGTTTGTGGGGCAAGAGCTGCTCCTTCCTGGGCCCCTCATCCTACTATGGAGTGGCCTTTCCCTGCTGCAGAACCCAATGTGCCACAGAGCTCCTGTGTGGAGTCCTGTGTGAGTGTGCTCTGCACCCCCACCCCACAGTGGGCACTTCTTGGAGTGCCGCAGCCACCTCACACTCTGCCAGCCTGGCAGCCCCACATGGGGAGGACAGGAGTGATGGCAAGCAAAGGAGAAGAGGCTGCACAGCAGAGCCCAGAGACCATGCTGGCTCATGGGAGGCAGAAAGCCTCCATGCCCTCCCTCCCACAGGTCACCCGCCGGTTTGGGATCCCAGGGCTGAAGAAGGCCATGGAGTGGTTTGGCTACTACGGAGGTCCCTGCCGTGCACCCCTGGCCCCTCTGAGTCCTGCCCAGGTTGAAGAGCTGAGGAGCACCTTCAGTGCCAATGGCTGGTTGTGAGGTGCTCTCCATCTGCCCCTTCCCACACCAGGAAGGTACAGGAGTCAGGGACCCTGGGAACTGAGGACATTCTGGGTACACTGGGAGGTGGCCAGGAGAGGGCCACCCATGTTACTCTTTCCTGTTGGACAGGGCTGCACTGGGAAGAGTGGGTAAAGGAGGGCAACCCCAGGCCAGCCTGCGTCCCTGCCAGCCCCCAGGTCCTGTTGTCTGCCTGGGAAGGGGTGGGTCCTGGTGGCATGAATAAACCTGCCGTCTCCTCTCTGTCTGCAGTCCTGTCTGTGCAAGGCCCCCAAGCCATCCCTGCTCCCAGCAAAAAAGACATGGCACAGGTGTTTGGCAACATGGTTTACTCAGCTGAGGCCCGTGCAGGCAGCAGCACAAGGCAGGGTCACAGCAAGGCACGGGACCCGGTGTAGGCAGAGACTGGCAGGATGGGCACGGCCCCTGCAGCCCTGCACTGGGCAATGAGGGCTGCTGGGACCCCTGTGCACCAGGGGTGAAGGTGAGCATGCAGTGGGGAGATGAAGGACGCATGTAGGGGGCAAAATGGGGAACTGTGTGCCCCCTGCCTGCCCCTTTGCCATACCTCTATCCCCTCTCACCCTGCCCAGGCCTCCTGCTCCAGCCCTGGCACCCCCAGGCAGACCTGCTCATGTACCTCATTCTCGGTTCCAGCTGACCCTTCTCCTTGCTCACCATTGCTACCATCCTTCACCAGCATGCAGCAGACATGTGCCAGGCTGAGCATTCCCTACTCCCTCTTGGTGAGAATGCTGCTGCTGCTGTCCCAAAGGCAGTGAGTGGATGGGTGGATTGGCACAGGGATGAGGGGAACACAGCCCACAGACTGGCCCTGAGAGCAGACTGGGGTCTTTGGGGACACTATGTCACCATACCCTGGGCATGCAGGGGAATGGCCAGTCCCCCAGAGCTGAGGGTGCAGACCATGGTATGCCCAGGGTGCCCACCCTGCCTCCAGACCAGGGCAGCAAAGTGAGCCAGGAGCTGCCCCTCTGGGGGCATGCGGTTCAGTCAGCAGCTTCCAGCCAAGGCACCCTGGCAGTGGGGACAGGGACCAGCCTCTACCCCCGTGCTCCATCCTTTGCAGCTGGCTAGCAGCCGTAGTGGTCCACAGTCTTCCTGGGGGGAAGAGGGGCCAAGCCCCTGTCACCCTGTCCTTCTGCTGCTCCAGCAGGTGCCAGGGCTACAGCCAGAAAGAGAAGGCACCTCGGCTGCCCCAGGGCACTTGGGTGGAGAGTGAAGGGCCCCACCCCCTCCAGCGGTAGGGGTTCGGCAGGAGGAGGCTTGGAGGCGACGAAGGGCAGGGAGGCACCCAGCAGTGCCACATCCCTTCTCCAGGACCAGCAGGGCCAGCCAGTGCCCAAGTAGGGGGGTCCCTGCTCTGGTGGAAGGGGATGTGGGGCACCATCACGCTGTCAGGCTGTGGGCAGACTTGGAGGCACCCTGGGCCCTCTGGATGATGGCCGTGCACTTCTCCCGCCGCAGCAGCTTGTTGTTCTCAAAGAAGCCCTCGTTGCGGGGCACACCGTGGGAGCCATCAGGGAAGGTCAGGAGACCTGGGGAGGGAAGGGCTGGGACTGAAGAGGAAGGGAGCTGCACCCGCTGGGGATGGGGCCAGGAAAGGAGGGACAAAGCGGGAGATGCTGGAAGGGGCCGTGCAGATGCCAGCACTCACCGAAGCCGTACACGTGCCCGCCTTTGAACTCGCCCTCAAAGGTCATGTTGTCACAGCGGGTGAAGACTCCAACGCCATTGAACTTGCCCTGCACAAACTCCCCCTCGTACCTGTGTGGGAGGATCTCCTGAGGCGGCAGCTCCCCATGGCAAGTGGGAATGCCCAGGGAGGTGTAGGCAGGAGTGCCCACCTGGAGCCATCGGAGAAGGTGAGCACGCCGCAGCCGTGGAAGAGCCCGTTCTCAAAGTGCCCCACGTAAGCAGTGCCATCAGCAAATGTCAGCTGTCCGATGCCGTGCCTGCGACCTAGGTGAGAGCAGAAATGGGCAGCACTGGACAGAGATGAGACCTGCCCCAGTGTGGAGCTGGGGCAGAGATATGGGGTTTGCTTGTGCCTCAGCACAGGCGGCACCATTCCCTCAGGCCACATCTCACCTTCTTTCCACTCGCCGCGGTACTCCTCCCCGCTGGAGTAGGTGAAGGAGCCTTTGGTGAGGGTCATGGCAACAGCCTCTGGCACAGCAGGACAAGAGCTGGCAGGGAGAGGCACAGAGAGCTGCTGGGCAGGGAGAGCAGCTCGGCTTGCCCAGAGCACTTGCATCCTCTCAGCTTGCAGAGCTGAGTCTGTCTGCCCTGGGGACAGCTCTGCTAGGGCACAGCACAGATGAGGAGGTGACCCCAGGAGCACAGCTGCCCTGCCCAGACGCTGAAACCCCAGCCGCCTGGTTCGGGTTGCTGCCCGCCCCACTGCAGGGCTCAGGGAGATGTGAGCCCATGGGGGTCACAGCCCTGTGAAATGTGAGTGAGTGGCAGGAAGAGGAGAGTGACAGGAACTAGCTGCCGTTGTCATGGCACTCCTGCAGACCCCCAGAGGTCCTGCTCTGTGCAGGCTCAGGCCAGGGGCCACTCTCAGCTTTGCTGGGGCAGTCCCAGGCAGAAATAAGTGTTTTGGTGAGGAGATGCTTGCTAGATTGTGTTCAGTGGTAGTTCTTCAGGAGAGGGAATGGAGAGCTTGTGGGGTTTCCAGATTCAGCGTCAAGAATGGGCAGACCCGGCTCACCCCCAGGGATGAGAGAACACTCCTCCTAAGAAGGACAGCAGAGATAGTATCCTGGGGCTTGAGGGCTTTGCTCGGCTACCGAGGGTTTGCAAACTTGACTGCCAACAGCAAGCAGCTCCAGGAGCCCTACACACCTCACTGAGCCCTGCCACGTAGCACAGCTCTCCCCAGCACACAGGGAAGGCACCGGAATGGAAACAGCCCCGCAGGTGGGCTGGGCGCTGCCTCTCCAGCAGCTGCCGGTGCAGCTCAGGCAGTGCCAGCGACGGGAAGGGGCTCCCAGCATCTAAGCAAGGTCTGTCTGCTTACGGCCGGCTGCCTATCACCCCAGAGGTGGCTTCTGAACCACACGAACCAGCAGGACGCGGCTCTCAGGAGCACAACAGGAGCTTCCCCGGGCTTTGTGTCCAGAGAAATGGCCCCAGCCAAGGCGAACAGCGGCTGAACAGTGCTCTCTACTGATGGGAGGGACCGGGAGCGCATCGCCGGCTCCCACCCTGCAGCCTGCCCGGCCATGCCAGGCGGAGGAGACGGTGCTACCGCGGACTGTGAACTCGGCCAGCACGGCCCGTGACACTTAACCCGAAGGACGGCACTCCACGAGCACTCCAGCCTGCCCAGCGCCCGCTGTCACCACCCGGAGCCCGCACGTACCGCGCCCGCAGCAAGCAGGGGCAGCGCGCCCAGCACAGCCCGAATCGCAGCGGCCGAGGGGAGCAT